TCGCTTTCTCTCTCGTACGGTACGACGTCACTGCTCGCGCTGACCTACCTCACGGACACCACTATGGCGGATTGTTCCTTGTTCAAGCAGTTTTTTGAGCGTTAATAGTTCGAGAACGAAGCAGAAATTGCATTTTCATTATTCTTGATTATCGTTTTGTTCTGGCTTGTAGAACCACCTTTTGAGAGATCTACTACACGTAATGAAATACCTTCTTTGTAACGCGTCATTGTTTCGTGACTCAGACTGTGTAGTAAGTAGAGTAGTGGTGGTATTCATTTAGAATTCAGTAAACTATGAATAATTTCATGCAACTGTGAGTGTTACTATGGCTGGTTGAGTAATTATAATACTGTAAAAGTACCAAAATAAAAGTGCACATTTGTATGTTTATATTAGAATGAATTATTATTATTGTTCATGGCATAATAAATATCTAAATAACGTTACTTAACTTATCATTCTGATGCATATCGATTCATCGAATTCTATTAAAATTTATATTTTCCCAAATTGTCCGTACGTTCTTATGGTACGAATCAGTGAAGACTAGCTTAATTAATGATTATATAATAATAGTAATATAATAACATGCATAATTCTACTGTATTGAAATGTTACAACACCAAAGATTTTGTATAGCGATACTTCTATACATTCCAGTTTTAATTTTCAGAAATCCTTCGATATAATAACCTATCCATTCAATCGGTATCACGTTATTAGAGGTTAAACAGAGTTCGAATAGAACGGACGATGAATTTCATTGGCTCGAATCACCTGAAAATCCCCGTCCTTGCAGATTTGTATCGTTTGACAGCCCCAGGGTAACAAATACGTGTTTCGCTAGTAACCATGAACCAGCGTGGTCGCATTGAAAGTCTGCTCTATTCATAGAAAGAATGGCTAAGGCTTATGTACATACGCTACAGCCACCTCTTTGAAAGGCTCAACGTGTAACATTCTTTTTAAGCCGCTGTAAATTTCAATGTTAAGGTCAAGGTCTTGAAACTAACGGAGAGTATTCTTATAGTGTGCAACGTCGATTTTGGTGAAGCTTTGGTCATTTCTATAACGGTTAAGAACGAAGCAGGCGTGTCGTCTTTTCGTTCAGGCCAGTGAAATCTGAAGAGTGAAATTATTATCCGAAGTTTCGATAGAAGATCGTTGAAATGTTCGAGAAACATGTAAACCCTCCATTTCATGAATTTTTATGAGTTAAAAACAATGTATGGCTGCTGTTCTATTTAAGTATTGGCGTGGCGATGAAATAAATATAAAATATTAATAAACAATGTTATTTATTGGATTTTATAACAGTTGCCGTACGAGAACTTCATGCATATACAGGTACGAAATGAACAAGAATGTATAAATAATAAAATTCTGTATAAATTCAATTTTCTTTGTAAAAATTTTTTTAATGTTTCACGAGGACGAGTTGAGGAGTCGAGTTTATTAGACCGAATCAAATAAATTCCAACGTAGGTATTCAAAATGGTTAAAGTTAGGCGAATAATTAAATAACAAGAATGATAAGGACACTGAAATGAATTAATTAGGATAATGATCAGTTAGATTTAATTAGTATAACTACATTAAATAATTATATTTTCTTTCAGATTATTACAAATTTGAAAGGAAAAATGTAATAGACACTTTGCTTCATAGTTAACGATTTTATTAAATAAAATATAGATACTGTGTGAACTTCATTGAATCCTGGTAATTGTCATGTGTTTTTATAATAGAAAATGATACGAAAAATTACAATATACAGTGACTCGTTAGTTTATACTGTTTATATTTTTATTTGTAGTCAAATAGAATTTAAGAATGATCCGTCGATAGGTCACGCCATCTCGAAGCAACGTATTAAAATTTTAAACGACCTGTCCTGTATAACTCGCGACGACGAATCGCAGTAGAGATTGCATTTCGTCCCCTCGTCATTCCCGCTATTTTTAGGATTCGAGATCCTAGAATGCACCCCGGTGGCCCTTTTATTTATAGGAATGATCCGGTGTCAACGTCCGAAACGATTTGTCATAAAGCGTTCACCTTCGAGGAATTAGAACATTCTCCGACGGTTTCCGTTGAAAAATTAAGTATTGTTTCCCGAATTACTTATCGGTTTCCATATCGTTTGAATTAAATGACGTTTATTATTTTTATGGGAAGAGCGTCCTCATTGTGTCATGAATATCTCAAATTTACAAATTCGAAGAACCTATGAAATTGTCAAGTTTCCGTTCGAGGGATCATCAGGTTTTAGAATCTTTCTGATGAAAGAAAGTGATTCACAATTTTTCTCCCGGGACAAAAAGGATTATAACCTTAGAGTGATATTATTTATTTTTTTATTATTGTTATTTATTTTCCAAATGTACAATAATCTGGTGCATATATCATACTTCATTATTATTCTATCCGATGTTTGAAATATGCATAACGTCTCGTCTCGCAACGTAGTGCATTTGAATATCGATAGAGGTCAGGACAATCCTCAATGTTTCTCGAAAGTCATCAACTGTGTGTTTGTTAGATTAGAACTTAGGAGCGACAATTCTAAACGAAAAGAGTTAGAGTTACCTAAGATTGGGAATCCCCTTTTCTGCAACAGATAATAGTGGAGATAGTGAAAATATAGAAAATTCTCCACTGAATTCGACAAATCGTTATTTATTTATTTATTTCTCACATAAATGAAGTATTAAATACTTGTTTGTTAACAATCTGTAACCTTTAGAATAAACGTAAACTCAGGCTAGGCATACATTTTTTTTCTACTAGATTAACGTTTTGCACTCGAAAGATCACTCTCAGTCACGATTTGATTTGATATAACAAAATTACAGTTTTAATTAATATGCGAAATATTTATATAGAATACCTTTGTTTCTTAATTGACGTACTCATTAATTTGTTTCAAATAGTGTCGTCTATGTCTTACCGGAAAATGTCGAATGTTTCTAATGAAATGCTTCCGAGTGTAAAGGGTCAACGATAAAGTGATTTTATCATAGTTGTAAAAGAAATCATAGGGCAAGGGGTTAAAAACAAGGAACAGGCTACATACGACGGGACGAAACAGGAAAATTTTCAAGAAACCTGCGAGCCAAATTTCACACAAGTTGTCCAAAAGGTTCTCGTTAGAATATATGTGTCATTTCCAAATATGGGCCTACAACCCAAACGCCCGGAGCAGGTTCGTCTGTATTAGCTCTACTGATGGAGTCTAGCATTGGACCTTAGACGAAATGGTGTGTGCACCTCTCCTTTTTCTCCTTGGACCTCCTCCCATATGAAGTTGGCGGCGTGTCTGAACTTTACAGTCCGCTGAACGAGTCGTGGGTGTAAGTCAACAAAAGATGTTATTACTTGTGAACATATCATAAATGTAACTTAATCGAACATCACCTTCTTCGTATAGAGTTATTGTTAAATTGCAATTCTTTATGTAAATTCAAATTTTTAAGAATATCATTAGAAAAACAGAATTATAATGTAGGACACTGTACCTTGGATATTTCATACACGTATAAAGCGGTCTTATTAATTAAATAGATTTAAAGATAATCTTACTAATTTATTAAATTTTAGGGTTTATTTCTTTTTGATCGATCATTCTGAGAGTAATCTTGCTAATTAAATAGATTTAATAAATACAAGCAATCTAGTTATTATACAAAGTACACGTTATGTTAATTAAGACGAATAATTGTAATGTATTTTCAAATGATGGACAATTTGTTCATTTACAGTGACTATCACTCGACTCGCCAACGGGACTTACAAATTCGAAAAAGAGAATCTCCTTGTACTGTACAGTCAGAGAAATCCCCAGTTTCTATTAACCCTTTGCGCTCCGAGTACCTCTTACGTCTTCAATGTAAAGTTATAAGTATAAATAATCAAAGATTCATTTGCAGTCAGCGTTTCACAATGCACAAAGAAATCAAATCCTTTGTAACAATGTGTCATCTCAAAGCACCAGTTAAACAGAATCCACTATACCAGAATTTCGCCCGAAAAAATCCTTTACCGAGAAGCAGCTATACCGGGAGTATCACTGAGTGAGCCGCTAGAGAGATTAAATTGGTGCGGCGACATACTCGGTGGAATTGTATCCGGAGTCCTGCTGCGGTCTCTCGTGTGCCTCGCGGCAGGCCGGATAATTTAAACGCTGCTTGAAATTTTAATACCGGAATCCACGGACATGATCACCCATTCAAAGCCAATGATACCGTGCATTCGATAAATTTCATTGTTCCAAAAACGACCGATTCAGGAATCCTCATTCGCCGTCGAAACGTTTCTATCCCCTCGAGCCTTGATCCAAACTGCCAAAACAAATTTCACTGGAACACGGACATAGTCGAGATTACGTGTACTGAGTGTTCATTAAATGTTAACCCCTGCAGATCCGGCGCACATTATAATGTACCCTGTTTTACTACTTCAATATTTGACGAAATATCAAAACTCTGATGGGCAACTATGTACTATACAGCTCTCGCGTTAGCTCCATCAAGCTAAAAGTGCACAGGAACAAGAGGACTCTTCCACTTACGAGTATGATGGAACTATAGGGAATTTTGTTTTCTATCATTACGCCCCACTTTGGGTCTATCTCTATCAAAAAAGTAATACAAGAGAGAATAGGGTAAAACGGAACACCAATGTTCTTCGCAGATAATGTAACACTAGCGCACTGATCTGCAGTCGATCACAAACTATACCTTATTAGCTTTATATCATGCAACACCAGCTCGATACGAGCTCCTTATCTACGGAAAACATTGATGTTTTACCCTACTTTCTCCTATACTACCATTTTATTCGAAGTAATGTTACCAATGGCGCATCGAATGGCATCCGGTGTTCTCAGATACGTGAATTTTGTACAAGGAGTTAAAGCGGACTGGTTACTTGTCGATATATGCACAGGTTTCGCAACGAACGGTAGCTCTTTTAACTGATGACGATTCTAGAGCAGTTAGGTAACTGAAGTGCACATCAAAGTTGGCGTTCGTAGCAGGAACCAAATGGACTTCTCAGTTATCCGTTGGTTGCGCCGATGGTAGCTGTCCGAAACACCGCGGCGATATCATGGGCGAAGTTTATTCGATTCTCATGACGATCGAGCGCTGGGTGCAAGAGTTGAGCAGCCCTAGCAAGATCCAGGAACCAGAGAGTCCTGTTGAAACGAAGATCGTTAGCGACACGAACGAATTCCTGATCGACGCGCCGGTTCTTCGGGATCTCCTGTTAGGCGTGTCGTCAGAGAATAATATATTCGACATTATTTGCACGATCAACCGGCTAGTCTTCTTTTACGTGATCATCAAGTGGATTAATCGGGAAGTGTGGATGATAGCTGGCGGCGAGCCCTTCGTTTATCGATGAGGGTCGACGAAAAACTTCGATCTTGTCTATTTGTTGCGAAGTTTGTGATGTCCTTGGACCAAAGAGAGAAATCTGATCGAGGATGATTAATGGAGTAGTGATCGGCTGACGGTTTTTGTAGTCAGAATCGTCGGACAGTGGCGTCTACCCGTTAGATTCGTTGTGTACTTGATATTCGAGATGACCACTGTACACATGATACTGCATATTTATTTATGTTCTTCACAACTAATGATCGTCTGGCACTGTCGTTCGGATTGGCAGAAGTATTCTCATTGTACCAACATGTCTGTTTAACAAAAATTTATTAACGCTGAGTAAGAACGTTTCGTAGCTACGGTGAGATGATTCTTGTATTTGTTACTTAAGGTGTTACGTTTTTCTAGAGTAAAGAATTCGAGGGAACATGCCATTAATGATGTGTCGATGAGAGAAGAATTGTGATATTATGAATTATTCTTTGAGCAAAGTCCTGGAAGTATAATGACTAAACGTTTTTCTAATTTGTTACAATGAAGAGGTGAAGTGGAATGGAGTCAAGAATGGTTCTTAGATGTTTGTACGGGTTTTACACTTTCAATTTTATTTGCTTTACACGCAAATGTATACGAATAACCTTTATGTAACGTATTGCACACGATTTTGTTTGAAACATATTTTTGCCAATGCAGTACAGTGAATTTGTCGTTTCAATATTCAAAGTACACCATCATACAAAATTGCAACTTCGATTCTTCCTACAATAAATAAAACACTGTTACAACGTTTTTTGGTTTCATTAAAATATACCTAAAAGAAAGAGGATACTCTTTTTAAAGATATTTATGTAAGTATTTATAAATTAGATTTATTAATTTTGTTATTCAAGTAGATGTCAATATGTAAGTTTATACGTTATATTTATCAACTTATATACGGACACACTTGAATTTCTCGAAACAAATTCATAAAAATCGCTCATACATTGATCGTAAATATTAAAATCTACTTTAACAGAATTCATTTCTCTTTTCGAAAAATATCAAAATATAATTCCCTGAGTAATATTCTTTTCGATTGAGCAGAAATAAAAGCAACGTCGCGAACGGTTAAATACAAAGTGATTGCGAATCGGTCCGTTGATTGAATCAGAATCCCATGAAACAAGGAATATGTAAATATTTCCATTTCAATTTGCTACACGAACGAAAATACGCGTAACGATAATTATTGGCGCATGTTGCGCGAATCGATATATGTATGTGGTCGCGTTAGGTTAATTTTAGATTTCGCCGGTATGTTGATTCCCGAAAATGTTGGCGCCGAGACATTCAGGACCATATAAAACACGTGTCCCCGGATTCCAACTAAAAAGTGATCAAAGAGAATTCGGCTGAAAGAGAGTTTGGAGACGTTTCTGGACCGCGTAATGTGATATCTTAATCAAAAAATAACGGAACGATTCCTGAAAAGTGTCTGAAAATATTCTTAACAAAGAACTGAGTCGTTTCTCTTGAATTCAGGTTTCTTTTACACAGAGTATATAAAGATATTTTCTACTGTAGCTTTTAAATGAAAAGAATATATTATATTAGAGATTCTACGCTTCGATATTAATGAAAATCCTTTGAAATAAAAACTACTGTAATATCGACCTTGACCTTGACCTTAAAATTCTATTCTAATTCATTCCATCCGAATCGTCTTCTTAAACAAAGATATATATTAAAATCTAATAGAAATTGGACAGATATTTTCTTGTCGTAATTGATATAATTGTAATTCTTTAGAATAAAATTCTAAAGTGATTTTAATATCGTGTTTGTACTACGATTACTTGATGTCTTTGGCTTTTAATATTCCTAGTGAGTTCATAAGATAGCGCCATTTTCTTGGCAGATTCTTAACGAGCAAGCTTGTGAATGCGTTCGATGGTCTAAATTTATTAGAGAAAATTTATTGCTGTAGCAATTGTTAAGGCTTCACATGAAACAGAAGTGGAGTCTTCTCTGTTGTATCATTACGAGATTCTTCGTGCACGTTCACCTCCTTATCCATTCAACCAGCTGCGATTCAGAGTTTCTTTCTATTATATTTCTCTGATGCGCTTGCTACTCGTGCGCATCTACTTCGGCCATTCTTCTCTATTACGTCAACAAGTTTCGGGCCTCCTTTCCCTACCTATCATCTCGTTACTAGAACTCCTCCCCTTTTGAAATTCATGCTCCCTCTGCGTTCTCTGAATTGTTAAGAATTTGTTAACCACTTTAAAACAAAAGAATATATGTATGTTACATAAAATCTTTAAATTATAACACCGATTTCGATATGTTATGAAAACATTCTCAAAACGGTTTAGTTCGACGGAAATGAGGAATTTTGAATGTTTGATGCTTTGAGAGAGGAAACTCTGTTATAGAGTTAATTAGAGTTAATCCGTTCGCAAAGGGGTTAGTATTTCTGGAAACACGTGAAATTAACTGATAACATCGCTATGTTGGCGATATTTTTTATTATTATATTTTTATTATATTATCCTGTAGAAACAGTTTAGTAAAATTCCACGAAACCAACGTTTATTGTTAGAATTTGTGGTTTACAAATTCCCAGGGAAAATTATGAATTAGTTGAAATAGGTATTTAAGTTATTCTAATAATCAATTCAAAAGTGAGCTAACATCACTTTTTTTAAAAATTGTATCGATATTATATATTTTATGAAAGCTCAAACACTGTTCATATTTGATTATTTTCTATCTTTCACTTTTCAAGATATCTGATGAAGCAGTCTTGTATCCTTTATATTTAGGGCTATTTCATCTCTTGAAATACGAGTTTGAAAGATTACGAAAGAAATGCTCGATTATTTGTTCATTCTCCATTGCGATCAAAGTTGTCCAAAGATTTCCAAAAGTTCGAAAGAATCAATCGAACGATATTCTGTATCAGTTGAATTCTTTAAAATGATTTATATCATTTGCCACACGAAACTCCTTCGATCTCGAGCCATCAATCCAACAGTACTTCCCTATATTCGATTCATCTATTTTGCAGTGAAACCATCAGTGACGTTTGATTGTTTCGCCGGAATGATTGGGGCATCGGGAAGAAATTGATTCCGGTGACCGGAGATGAGATCTGGCCGCGATCGAACGTAATTTATTTCAATGTCCATGCTCCAAATCCGTGGCAGGCATCGAAAATAGACTGCGATTTCCGTCAAACGCATACGCCTGTCTCTGTTCCCTCGGTCCAAGCATCGAGCTCCTGAAAGTTAGAGTCAACTGATTTACTGCGTCGCGGATAGTACGCTCATCTGCCAATTTTCAGCCGCTTTAATCCCGGGTTTAGGAACATATCGTTGCTGCAACTTCAACAATACAACGCTTACCAACTAAAATATTTCATTTGCCTTCCATCGATAATATAATTTAACCCCTTGACGTAACCCCTGTAATATCCTGTCAGACTCGTGATGAAAATTGTCGATTGAATTTTGATAAATCTAAATGTTTACTCTCTGGAGTAAACCTAGACAGAACAAGTTCTTTTCCTTTTTCTAGAGAAGAAATTATTAAGTTCTGCTCTGTTTTAAAGAAATTGTTAACGTTGAAGTTTCGTTAATTAAGCACAGTTGTGAAAGAAGTCATAGGGAAAGGGGTTAATACACATTTGAAAAGGAAAGTTTTACTTTAAACTTGAAACGGCTTTTCTTCGTGTAAGAATCGGAATTGATTTATAAAGGATTAACCGGAAAGGATGCGGTCCAAAGAATTCAGAATTAACGAAGTCAGTGGTCGAACGAAGTTATTAATGTTGTTCATAAATAATTTCAAATAAATGTGGAAACGTCGAGGAGTAATAAGGAGCGTGGTTAATGGCCAAGAAGCATTTATCAGTAAAGCAAAGCTTGTAGATGACATGACCCACTTGTGACCGTCTTCCTTTAATCCTTCTGTCAATAACCTAAATGCTCACGGTTGTTTAATAATTGGGGTAACTGGCTATTGCGTAAAGGGCAGACATCGAGTTTCAATGTATACGGGAATTATAAAACTAAAATAATGATTTATATCGTTGCATTACTTGCAAAATGAATTATAAAAGTGAAATTGGCGTATGTCTCGAACTAATAACTTTTGCATAGGTTATTCTATCAAAAACATATTATTTCATTTAAAAAAATGAAGGTGACTTTGAAATTTCAAAAATTCTCTTACATACAAAAATGTTTTCACTGTTACACTATAAATATACTACATTACACTATAAATACAAAAATAGCAAAGATAGTAAAGTGTTAATTCTTACTTTAATACCTTGTACATCATTTAGAATTTCAAGAAATTGTAAATATAATCCTATTTTACTTCACTGCAACACCCCCAAAAATTCCTTAAAATTAAAATAATATATTGAATAATACAAAAAATGAAATATTAAGGTCTACCATAATGATCTATGTATTATTTCAATGTTCTATTTCAAGGATTCAACGAATACTTGATTTTCGAAATGCATCGTAAGAATATTTAGGTTTAGATACAAAATGTTGCATCACCAATATACAATCTTTATACAGATTTTTCAGATAATAATTCATTCATGCATAATTGTTTGTATTAATACAGGTGATTATCAAGATTCGTTACCGAGTTCCCCTGTAAAGATCGGATACGGAAATATCTAAAACGTGAGAACGTTTAAGGTAGCCAGATATCAATTACATGAAATTATTCATCAGGTCTGTACAATGATAGCTCGAGGTATAACACGAATAGGTAGCCGCCATGTGTGCTCGTTTAACGGGCTGATTCGGGGTCACGAAACTCCTATTGTTATCGATAAAGCCGTTCTGTTCCATGACGGAAATAATTCGACACGAATAGGAAAAACGTTTGCATTAAACACTTGTTTTGCAAACCTTGTCTCCCTGTTTAGACTAACAAGAGTAACTTTATTCTTGATAGCCACCTAGATTTTGAGATAAATATTTTTAAACAGAAAAATTAATTTAATTAATCGATGTAATCCCAGTAATTTTCGTATCTATTATATTCAAGATTTTTATGAATCTGGCTTGGTATTATAAAATTGAAGAGTTAACATATATATGATCTTACTCTGTCATTTTATTACTATTGATTTTTAATTCCTTATCTTACAGTATGCAAAACTCATGATGAAGATTTGTAACAGAAATTAGCAAAAGCAAATGTCATTCAATTCTATTGAATTCGAATGAAGTAGTATTTTATCGTTGTCAATTGTTTGGAGTGAATGTAGATAGAACGAACATGAAATTCCTGCTATCTAGTAAATTATTATAATAGTAAGTTAAGTAGATATATCGAATAAAGTTATGGAAGAAATCATAAGAAATGAAATTAAATATCTGCATTGATTAGATAATTTTTAATCATTCGCAATGATTCTTCAAACAATCTACTGAAAATATGAATTTTCTTTCTCATGGAAATGAACGATCGAAGGTTAAGACGAATCTGCTGTTCAATGCTTTCTCATGAGCATAATTATGCGTTTTCAAGTTTCACAAACAACCATTTCTTAATTAGCAAAACGGAGCTTCAAGGAACACTGCAGTATACGTCACTACGCAATTATACATACAAAAATGACGAACTTTCCGGTAATCGAACGTGAAAACGAGGTCGTTGATTGTAGGTGCTGTGCTCGTTCGGTACTCAAGAATAATTGAAAGCATAATTCAATAGTAACGTTCTGATCGTACATGGCAAAGGTCGAAGTCAAATTCGCAGTTCAGTTCTAACTACAAAGTTAAATTCAAAGATAGTTTGCACCGGTCAAATTCAAATATAGCTCGTAAGGCCTGAGTATACACTATAGATGTCGCAAAATCTAAATCAAGATTTTCATTAAATATTACTCAACGAACTTACTGTTTCCTCAGCAGTTATGTGTTCTCTGTAATAATAAGTACAACTCTGTAACAAAAGTAACAGCAATAAAAAATGAATTTGTAAAAGTCAATTGTAATAATAAATAAAAGAATCTTAATAAAGAAAATCTGTGCAAGAATTATAAATTATAAATTACGAATCATTGAGTTCGAAGAGATTCTGCTTCCGCCATGTTTGACGGCCATCTTTGATATTACCATGTGATTTTAAGTTTACATATTACTCTTCTACATGTTTTACGTCTCATTTCATTTTCTTCGTAATTAGTTTAGTATTAAACATTTAGTAACCCTTAATAACTAAACAAAAATCAACTTAAAAACAATTCCCTAGAAAAATCTATGAAACACCTTATTACCCCATTACCCACTATGAAAGATCATAAAATTATAAACATTACAGTTGATCGCAAAACTATTTACATACATAGTGCACATGCAATTCACCAAAACATAAACATTACGTTCAATTCAAACGAAAAAGTTCCATAAATATTACAAACACTTCTACCCAAATATTCCCCATTCCAAATCCCAACTTACCAATCTTCTTCCCAATAAGACGTTAAAAATCCTCAAACAAACAGCTAATTGTAAACTCATCGAGTACTAAACGTTTGAACAAACATTCCTCTGTTCCGGAACACGCTTTCCGGATCCATAAAACATCGATCACGGTCTATAAAACAGAAACACGTGAACAACTCCGGGTTTGCCGGTCTTATCAGCGTTCGCCACTTGAAATCGCATGAATGATCTATAAAACGTCGCCTCGGGATCATATTTTACAGCCCGTAGAAAATATTACGCAGCCGTCCAGCTTAACGTGGATTTCATTTCGTCATGAATCCACATTTCCTTCCGGTCTTCATCGTTCAGAGGCTTCGCGTGCGCTATGAGAGGAACTTGGCGTATGATGCAGCTCGCGGCGCGCGCGCGCGCGCGCATTGCCTCCCCCGTGTAATGCACTCTCCCGGTTCAAATTGTATCCAGCGTTCCTCGGCTTTCTCGGCACGAAGCCAGCTCCCGATAGGCCGAATTTTCTTTGTCGGTGCTGCCTCGGAGGGGACCAGGTCCACCTATCGGAACGCGACGGTGCTCGGTGAAAGAAAAGCGGGACAATCGAGAGCTTTGTGCCGGCGATTCCGTGGACCGACCGCACCGACCCAAATTGTCCTGGCCAAACATTTGCGTCGGCGGACATCGTATATTGCCTTCGAACGGGTCCCGTTGTTGGTAATGAGTCTGCGACGCGAGATCCGATATTAATCGCAGCAGATTTTAACCCTTTGTGGACGAACGTCGACATTTCGAGATGAAACGTTCATATTTGGAAGACTAAGTCGTAGACAAATGATTTGATTACTCGGACAGCAACAGATTAGCGTGTAGTTTCTGTTTTTGCCAGTATTTAAGCAATTAATATAATTTAGCTTCATCTGTTGAAGGTTTTGTACATTTCAGAGAATCTTTTAACCCTTTGTGAACGAAGATTGTTGAAAGTGTACCAAAACTTTAGCAAATTCTGCTAAATTAAAGAATGAATGCTTCAATCATAGAGAATAAGGAAACTGTGCGTTGATTTCTTGCTGTTCGAATAGTTAAATCATTTGTTCACACCTTGGTAGTTCAAACATGGAAGTTTGATCTCAGCAAAATGCCGATATTCGTCCGCAAGGATTAACTCTTCAGCGATGCCGATTTGTTCTAGGTAACTTTCAATTTTTCTGGATTCTTTCTTTGTTGATCCGCTCAAGGCCAGGGGTTTTTAGTTAGTTAACTGTGGAATTTAGTTTGAAGAATCTCTCATTGCACGCAATGAAGTCAAATAATAGAGTGTACACTCGTCAAACGTAGAATGAATGAGAATTGAATGAATAATATAAATTTACTGAATATATTAATTTCCGAATTTTAATATTTTAAACAATACCAGCAGGTATATTGCTCGATAATGCACAACCCACTTCTGAATTGTATGATAAAAAATTCAACAGTTCAATTTACACAGTTGTAAGTTATTTCTTCTTCAGAGACAGTACCATAGTAATTTCCTGCAAGGTGATTACTCTTGATCAATGAAACAGAGGAATTCTGACATAAGTACAGCACAATTATTCAAGAAATTTGACTGCAAGATTAGCAAGTTCTACTATCCAAGTGGGCCATCGAGTTTTAATTATTTTCGCATCCAGGTTGGAACAACAATTATCTTAATGCGCATTCGCGCTACTTCCGTCTGACGTTTGCATCGCTGAACGTGTTCAGTGGCGGTCAAAAAATTTTCGCGAAAGAACATGGCAAGAAGGAAAATTATAACGCAGGATAATTTTTAAATTTATAATACAGTAATTTAAATACAAATTATTCGAACAGTCGCCGTATTGAGCAGTTAATTGTTTTCGATTGCACAATTTCATATAGCTATATACTTCAGCAAAACATTCAGATAATAAGATAATGTTAATACATTTATTAACTTACTTCAACTAAATTTTTGTCTCTTGTGTGCAGAATTGATTAATTTTGATTATTTCTACCTACAATCTTATGCTTGAAACAATAAATATCTTTAAGGTTTTATTAAAACACTTTTATATGAACTGCAGTTTGTAGAGAGGGTAAATAAAGACAGGGTCCATAACTTCCACAAAAATTAATATCTGAAAGTTATAAACAATTTTTTATTTGAAGATGATTAACAATTTGATTGTCTCATCATCTCTTATATCTTTGGTTATTAGATTTATAATAATTCTGGGTTCTGATACGTGTGTCGAGTGGCAACACATTTTTCACTAGTTGATGTGTGCTATCTACCCCAAAAGGTTATGAATCTTCCTTTCCACATCAGCCTGTACACATAAATATCAATTTATAAAATTTTCTTTGAACACCACTGTACCCGTGGCACATAGCTGCAGTTGCAGAATGCTGTCCTTGTAACATCTCGGTCAGTAAGTTCGATCGAAGATTTTAACACCCACGAGATTTGCTCGGGGGACATTAAAAGTTTTCGTGCCTCGTCGCGCGCCCTCTTTACGACGCGGAGGGGTTGAAGGGGTTTCGGAAATTATAGAGTCGCCCAGCTCTTTGTTTCGAGTCTGAACGAATTGTTACCTTTGCATAGATCTATCTATGGAAATCTTGTTAACAAGTACAATTCAGGTGCAATTTCTAGCTGAATTTCTGAAGAATAAGAAGGAAAATGTTGGAAAAGGGGGTTGGTTCTTCACAAGGAATTTGTGCCGAGAATTTCGAATGAAATGCGTAAATGTTGTAAATAATGAATATTTATAATGACAAAAATAACAAAAACAATAATAAAAAGAAGAAGAAGAAGCAATATTTATTATAAAAGTAAAAATAATAAATGTTTATAACATATTTAATGGCTTATGTACACTTTTAAATCAATTTGTGACAGTCACTACAGTATTAGTGTATTAGTCATTTAAATTATCTATTGATGTTAATTATTGTATTAATTATATAACCGATGGTTCTCAAATTTTGTTCTACTATAATATTTTTTAGGGAATGTTCATTAAGTTTGATGTAACATAATATTAAGAAACAGTATACAGGCGCTTATGATCGAAAGTTCTGCTTATTAATAACTGGTTTACATGGAAACTATCATAAGTTTACCAGGTATATAAGTTTACTAAATTATTTTCACTAATCTGTTACACGTGTATCAACTATTACTGATTCCAGTGTATTAATCGCAGAATATTATGTCAGTTCTTCGTAACTGAGTCTAATATTTCTACCATCATTGGTTTATCGAAAGGCTAATCAAACTTTGCAAGTGTCCAGTTAAGTCGATGAAAATTATTATCGAATCGGAGCACCCACGTGCATTTCTTCTCGAAGCAAAAAGCTAAAAATACGGAGGGTACTATTCCATGCGGAAGCATGACGTGAATCAGTTACATTTTTATAACTGTGATTCAATATAGTTTCCTATGAAAAAGATAAGAACTTATAAAGATTGAACGTTTATAAATGATGCATCTCGAAAGTCATAGTGGTCGAACTAAAAATAAAACCAAAATTCATATTCGAACTCTCCTTCCCTGAAGTCCCAGACTGTGCAATTTATACTCTCCACATATATTATGCGCCACCAATTTTCGTCTTATAAATATTATGCATAAATATAAAGATAGAAATAGATAGTACTTGACGATCGAAATTTTTCTGACAGAATTTTATTTCTCATGAAAATAAGTACC